CTCTGACTGAGGGCTGCTGGGAGCAGGGGGTGGGGCTTGTTGCATGTGCCCGCCCGCTGGGCTCTTTACTGCCGGAGCTTCGCTCCTGTGCGCTCCTGCAGGAAATGACTCCGGCTTATTATGAATGTTGTATATTGTTTTATCGGTTTTATTTGCAATTGGGCCACTGTTATAAGCTGCCCTGAGCCTGTTCGCAGGGAGGGCGGGGTATAAATTGAATTAATAAATTTTTAAAAATGTAAACTTCCTCTTCTTCTTCTTCGTGTTATTATTATTAATATTATTATTATTATTACCACCACCGCCCCAGAGGGCTCAGGGTGGTGTACATCATGGATCACACATGAACAAATAAAAACAATAAATAGAAAATAATATATGATTAAAACAGATAAAGTAGTATAAATTCCTCCAGATAATAGATGGCGTACATATAACTTTCCATAGGGTGGATAGCATGCTGGAATTAGTCAGGCCAGGCAGTAAGGAACCGTCACTGTCCTCAACTGTATGCCTAGTGGAACACCTCCATTTTGCATGCCCTCCGGAACTGAACTAAGTCCTGCAGGGCACAGATATTACTAGGTAGAGAGTTCCACCAGGACAGCCGGACATCTTTTGGGCCAGGGATCGCAAGTAAATCTTGATCTCCTGAGCGTACAGCTCTTCGGGGGGGCAGACCAGGAGAGATGGTCCCGCAGGTACATTGGTCTGGGACCATTAAAAGCTGACAAGGTCGGAACCAAAACCTTGAAGTGGATTTGGCACTCAACTTGGAGCCAGTGCAGTTGGCAAAGCACAGGTCGAACGGGCAGTCTCTGGCGTACCCGTTAAGTACCTGCGCCACTGCTTTCCGGACAAACTGTACTTTCCGGATCAGCCTCAAGGGTAGCCCTAGATAAAGGGAGTTACAGTAATCCATTCTTGAGGTGACTGTTGCATGGATCACTGTGGCAAGGTTGGGGCTAGAGAGGTAGGGGGCAAGTTGCCCAACCTGGTGAAGTTGGAAAAATGCCAGCCTGGCAAAATGTGCTACCTGTTATCCTGGTAGTGGTTAGGGTCTCTGGGGATTACAGCTAATCTCCAGGTGAGAGAAGTCAGTTGCCCTGGAGAAAATGGCTGCTTTGGAAGGTGGACTCTATGACATTATACCCCATTGAAGTCCATCCCCTCCTCAAACCCCGTCTCCTCAGTCTCCACCCCAAGAATCTCCAGGTATTTCCAAACCCAGAGCTGGCAAACCTAGTAGGGGTACGCCAGACCTGGCCAGTCCTGTTCACATGTAGATCAGTGTGGCTAATACTCATGCTTGTGGAAGGATGCGGCCAAGTTTCAGGGTGTGGGCGTTAGGAACATTGCCAGTCTACACACTGCAGAAGAACTAGAGAGGTGAGGTGCTAAGTGCAGCCACAAATGATGCTGTGACGGATTGCACAGGAAAGCAGGCTTTTTAAAATGCTGCTCGGTACAGAGAGTCAAGGGAAGTCATGCGTTAATCTTCCCTGGAGAGAAGAGCTTATGTGATTGGCTGCTCTACTTGCTCTCTGATTGGCCAGCATCAGCTGAGAGTGGAAATAAAACAGCTGATCGGGAGGGGAAAGAGCTTTTTCCCCATTTTGGTCTTTCGCCTTTTGGTCTCGGTCTGAAATCTAACATCTGGATCAGTAGCCAGAGGGTTTGGCTTCTGAGGGAAGAGACACTTGAGAGGCAGTGTTTTCTGACAGGCAATAGTCAGAAAAGTACTTCTAAAGAGAGAAGAAGAGAAATCCCAAGTGTCTTAAGTATATTAAAACTACTCTGAGGGAGAACTTAGATTCTCAGTCAGAAAAGCTATGGAACAGCCTTATACTGGAGTAGGATACTGGAGTAGGATTTGGTAGAAGGTCTGGGTAGTTAGAATGAACTCCCATACAAGCCGAATAGTAAAAGGAGTTATTGCTTCTTAGGGACAAGGAGAATAACTTCTTGCCAGTGAAAGGGTTAGGGTTGCCAAGTCCTACCTTAAGCTGCAGTGGGGGACTCCCGGCTTGCTTTGGGAGTGCTCACGCCCACGCGAAGCGCATGTGCGCCGTGAGCACGTCATCCGAAACATAGCGTTTTTCCTCGGATGACTGCGGCCCTGCCCCCCGTGCACCTGGTGTGGCTGCGTCACTTCCAGGTGACGTGCTGACGCTGGGCATGCCCTGTGCTTTGGGGGTGGGGTTCCCCCCTGGGGCCCGACCCGCCTGCGGGGAACGGGCCTCTGGGGCGGGGGTTTCCCCGCCCCCCGGGGGGGGGACTTGGCAAGCCTAGAAAGGGTTGGGAAGAGAACCCTGGTCTGTGATAAAGGGGGGAGGCTTAGACACCTCAGGAGTTAGTGAAAAGCTGTAATATCTAAAGGAAAACTTAGAACTCTGAAGGAAGAAATCGAGAAACTTTATGCGAACACTGTCCTCCAGAAGAAACATTAATAAGAACCGTGTTAGTGCTGAAATACACTGAACAGAGTACCTCTCAAAGAAAGAACGAGAAAACCTTGAAACAAAACTACAAATGCACTCTCTTGAAAGCTGAGAATTCAGCTCTCTCTATATATTAGAAAGCCTTTACCTCAGCAATCTCGAAACCTGGACTGTTCCTAATATACATATATTCCCTGCCTGTTTAATAAAATCTTTATTCTGTTTTTCAAAATTAATTTTCCATAAGTGCCATTTCACAAGGGTTTATAAAACAGGACAGCTCCTGTCTTTCCCTCAAGTTGGGAAGAGAAGCCTCGTCTGTGATAAAGGAGAGAAACGTAGACACCTCAGGAGTTAGTGAAAAGCTGTAATATCTAAATAGAAACCTAGAACTCTGAAGGAAGAAATCTGGAAACTTTAAGTAAATGCTGTCCTCCAGAAGAAACATTAATAAGAACTGTGTCAGTGCTGAAATATAGTGGACAAGGTACCTCTCAAAGAAAGAACGAGAAAGCCTTGAAACAAAACTAAAAATACACTCTCTTGAAAGTTCTGAGAATGCATCTCTCTCTCTGTGAAAGTTTTTACCTCAGCAATCTCAAAACCTCGAGTATTCCTAATAGACATATATTCCCTGCCTGTTTAATAAAATCTTTATGCTGTTTTTGAAAGGTGATTTGCCTCAAGTGCCAATTCACAAGGGTTTATAAAACAGGACAGCTCCTGTCTTTCCCTCAAGTTCCCATAACTAAAGCCTAAACAAATATCTAAACAAAGGGTGGTACAGTTTCACGTTTATATCCAAGGGAAAGAGGAAAGAGAAGATACACATGCTACTGTAAGGCGAGTCAGACACTGAGGGGAGCTGAAGTTTTGGCGGGAAAAATCTGCCAGACAGTTGGGGAGATACCGTGTGTATGTATGTGAGTGTTCTGTCCTAAATGCACTTAGGGTTGCCAGCCTCCAGGTGGGGCCTGGAGATCTCACAGAATTACTACTGATCTCCAGATGTCAGAGATCCGTTCCTCTGGAGGAAATGGCTGCTTTAGAAGGTGGACAATGTAGCATTGCACCTTGCTGAGGTCCCTCCCTTCCCCAGGCCCCACCCCCAAATCTCCAGGAATTTCTCGACCGCTAGTTGACAAGCAGGGCAGCGCTTAGATCTGTCGGCCTCCTCTTCCTGATCCCTTTTCTCTTGCCTTGTTTGCAGCTGGTATAAAGATGGGGAGTCTTCCGCTCCCTCCCGGGCTTTGAGCTGCTTCCCAACCAGGACATGCGATTTGTTGCGACGGAGTTCAGTGAAGGGCGCTACGCCTGCTTGATCCGTCGTGGTGGCAGGACTCTCCGGATTAATTCCTGGCAGGTAAAGCTGAGAGCGAAGACCTCCTTGAACCCCAAGCCAGGGCTGCGTAAGGACACAGGGGGTGCACGCTGACCAAAAGTACGTTGTAGGAGACACGTTCAGAATCCCAGCTGGCACCCCGGTAAGTGCTAGCTGAATGGATCCGTCGTGGTTGTGTCCTCCGCGCTCATCTTTTCAGCAGCCAGAAAATTTCAATTCAGAAGGTCCAGCTTGGGGATCTCCTGGAATTACAACTGATTTGCCAACGATGGAGTTCTGCTCCCCTGGAGGAAATGGCAGCTTTAGAAGGTGGACTCTATGGCATCAGAGCCCTACCGAATGTCCTCCACCAATGTCCAGGAATTTGCCAAGTCAGCCCTACCGAATGTCCTCCAATGTCCGATTCCCCATGCATTCGAATAAATCCACGTTTGAAGAACAAAGTAGAGTTTATTATAAAGCGATGATAGATCAGAACACAAGCATTGTTAGGAATAACCACAAGACCCTAAGGGAACATAATAAAGGAACTTTGAACCAGGTGAGGACCAATGAGTCCACTTCCCGCTGGCGGGAAGACAGATAAAATGAGCGCCCAATTCCTTGGGAACACAACGGTTCTGCAACATAAACACTAGTTCAGTTCCCAGGCATGATATACATAATAAGCCAAGCAATGCCATCACTCCATCCCACCTCCAGCTGGTTGACCTTGAGCAGTTCCGCAGATGCAGCAGCAAAAGACAGTAAACACCTACACAGGAAAATACAAGGGGGATGGGCAGGGTGCAAAGTAACACAGAAAATGAATACAGCATCTTATGGCAGCTTGCTGACATCCACCAATGTCCAGGAATTTGCCAAGTCAGAGTTGGAATCCGACTCTGTGTGCACGGATTTTGCTTCAGTAGTTGGATTTTGTGTTGCTTGTCTTCCGACCTCAATGGACCCACATCCTGTCCCATGCAGGGGCCATGTTCCTGGAGTGCTGATTCTCCCACTAATGCTGCCCCTATCCAGTGCCATTGTGCCAAAGATACTCAACCCCCATCTACAGCTTCACCGGAGGGGATAAATCGTATGACAGTACCTCCACAGGAAAGGATCCGGCATGGATAGCGTTGACTCGTTTCCTGCTGTTAGTAGACCTCGCTCTGAGTCGACACTCCTTCTGAAAGGCCAATAAATATGGAAACCTTGTCTTTCTTCTGTGACCCCCTTTTCCTCTTGTGTAAGTGGTTTCCCAATGGCATGTTTATGGCCTAGAATTTCCTTCCCCACACAATCCCCGAGGCAAACCGAGGCACCGCGAGCCTGCAATTTGCCTTTCGGCACAGAGTGATCTTAGTCTCTCCTGTTCGTGTAATTCATGGCCGACTTGGAGTTTGAACCTGGATCTCCCTGTGCCTAGTCTGAAACCCTAACCACTGTGTCACACTGTCTCTCGCCTGGGAATCATAAGGAAGCCACGTGGAAGAAATATGTGTGGGATGAATCAGAGGAAGCTCTGGTCCTGGAAATGCTTCCATGGTAGTGAACTGGATTGCGTTTTGTTGTTTTACATTTTTTAAAAAATTATTTCCTGCTTCTCCTGCTGGTGGGAAGCCGCTTGCAATAAATCAGCAATAAGAAAGACGCCGTATAAGAAAGGTCAACACATGCAAACAAGGGGCTGGGGTCAGGAACAGATTTCTGTGAATGGAAGAGGGCATAGGGCTTCCAGGCTTGCCAGGTGGAAGGCTGACGGGCGTGAACATGGTGTCTGCGTGTGGCACAGACAGCGGTGACCACAGAGTTCCCAATGATTCCTAGAGCTACATATTGCCACTTCCGGGTTGTATCTGGAAGCGACATACTGGTGCAAAGGTTGCCGGTGGGTTTTGAAAATATTTTCCTCTACCAGAGGTAATAGGTGGGAGGCCTGGAAACCCTAGAGGGGGGATTTTTGCCAGTTTCCCCCTTCCACTGCAGATGTCTGGCTCACTTCTCATGCAGTTTCTCAGAATGCTCCCAAGTTCAAGTCTTCTGGTTCTCTCTGTCCCTTTCTTGACCCCATGCATCATTTTTTAAACTTCTATGCTGTCACATGCAGCTGCCTTAAACTGAACCAGAACCTTGGTCCACCAAAGTCAGTATTGTCTACAATGCTGTCAACTCAGAGCGGCAGTGGCTCTCCAGGGTCTCAGGCGGAGGTCTTTCACACCATCTGTTGCCTGGTCCTTTTTAACTGGAGATGCCGGGGACTGAACCTGGAACCTCCTGCATGCCAGGCAGAGGCTCTTCCACTGAGCCACAGCCCCTCTTTACAGCTCTCCAGTGTCTCAGGCTGAGGTCTTTCCCATCACCTCCTGCCTGGTCCTTTTAACTGGAGAAGCCGGGGATTGAACCTGGGACCTCCTGCGTGCCAGGCAGAGGCTCTTCCACTGAGCCACAGCCCTTCTTTACAGCTCTCCAGGGTCTCAGGCGGAGGTCTTTCCCATCACCTCCTGCCTGGTCCTTTTAACTGGAGATGCCGAGGATTGAACCTGGGACCTCCTGCATGCCAGGCAGAGGCTCTTCCACTGAGCCACGGCCCCTCTTTACAGCTCTCCAGGGTCTCAGGCTGAGGTCTTTCACACCACCTCCTGCCTGCTCCTTTTAACTGGAGATGCCGGGGACTGAACCTGGGACCTCCTGCATACCAGGCAGAGGCTCTTCCACTGAGCCACGGCCCCTCTTTACAGCTCTCCAGGGTCTCAGGCTGAGGTCTTTCCCATCATCTCCTGCCTGATCCTTTTAACTGGAGATGCGGGGGATTGAACCTGGGACCTCCTGCATGCCGGGCAGAGGCTCTTCCACAGAGCCACAGTCCCTCTTTACAGCTCTCCAGGGTTTCAGGCGGAGGTCTTTCACACCACCTGTTGCCTGGTCCTTTTTACCTGGAGATGCCGGGGACTGAACCTGGGACCTCCTGCATGCCAGGCAGAGGCTCTTCCACTGGGCCACAGCCCCTCTTTACAGCTCTCCAGGGTCTCTGGCTGAGGTCTTTCACACCACCTCCTGCCTGCTCCTTTTAACTGGAGATGCCGGGGACTGAACCTGGGACCTCCTGCATACCAGGCAGAGGCTCTTCCACTGAGCCACGGCCCCTCTTTACAGCTTTCCAGGGTCTCAGGCTGAGGTCTTTCACACCACCTCCTGCCTGCTCCTTTTAACTGGAGATGCCGGGGACTGAACCTGGGACCTCCTGCATACCAGGCAGAGGCTCTTCCACTGAGCCACGGCACCTGGGACCTCCTGCGTGCCAGGCAGAGGCTCTTCCACTGAGCCACAGCCCCTCTTTACAGCTCTCCAGGGTCTCAGGCTGAGGTCTTTCCCATCATCTCCTGCCTGGTCCTTTTAACTGGAGATGCCGGGGATTGAACCTGGGACCTCCTGCATGCCGGGCAGAGGCTCTTCCACAGAGCCACAGTCCCTCTTTACAGCTCTCCAGGGTTTCAGGCGGAGGTCTTTCCCATCATCTCCTGCCTGGTCCTTTTTACCTGGAGATGTGGGGGACTGAACGTGAGACCTCCTGCATGCCAAGAAGACTCTGTGCCACTGAGCCACACTGAAAAGTCAGCCTCTTCAGCTTCTCCTTGGAGAAAAAGTGCTCCATTCCTTCTTAGAACTGCCCTCTGCATGGCACCCAAGTTTCCTGGTCTGCTGGTGGGGTTTTTGGGGGGAGGGGTGGTGAGGCCGATGGGAGGCATTCGCTGGCCTCGTTCCTCTCCTCCCTCACAAGTGTGGTTTCTGGGCATTTTGCCGGCCACCCAGGAGGGTGTAACACTCTTGGCAGGTGGCATCTTGCTACACCAGTCAATTAAATTAAATTTGGAACGTTTGGAATCTAATCTTCTGGGATCACTTCCAGTTTTGACATAGGCTTGGATCCTGTGAATGTATATGGAGATGGAGTCTTACTCTCTTCATTTACACCCCCCCCCTTTCTCTCCCCAGTGGGAACTCAAAGTAGTTTATCGTGTCCTCACCACCGGGTTTGATTCCCCACTCTTCCACATGCAGCTGCTGGATGACCTTGTGCAAGCCATAGTTCTGTCAGAAGTGTTCTTGAAAGAGCAGTCCTTGAAAGAGCTCTCTCAGCCCCACCTACCTCACAGTGTTTCTGTTGTGGAGAGGGGAAGGGAAAGGAGTTTGTAAGTCGCTCTGAGACTCCTTTGGGTAGTGAAGAATGGGGTATAAATCCAGTCTCCTCCTCCTCCTCCTCCTCTTCTTCTTCCATTTTATTTAGGGGTGAGCAATATTTGTATGGTGTTTGTTTGTCCCTAATGGCAGCTTTAGTCTTCTCTGAACCATCTTGAGCTTTGTGAAAGAGCAGTTCTATTTCATATTTATTTATATATTTTTTAATTTATGAATCGCCCAGTCCCTGTATGGACAGGGCTCTGGGCAATGTACATCTGTCATGGCTCAGGTGGGGTGTCACCTCACGCCGCCACCACTCTGGGTTTATGT